CTTTACATATTTAGTTCCCTTAAAAAAAATCTTCCCTGAATTAGGCTACTTCTGTTCAATTTCTTTTTTTTATTAGAAGTATAAAATATATGAGTGTAATGAGCTAGAAGTTCACTGCAACTTATCCAACATCCTAAAGAGAAATTATTATAATTAGAAGATATTTCTAGTGTTATAAAATATCGCATATTAATTTTCCAAGCAAAATGTATATTTTAGTCAGAATTATTGCGCTCCTATTTGGCGCGCATGCGCGCAGCAGCCCAGTTATGAAGTTATTTTTATAAACCTTTACAATGTGACCAGATTTTACCCCTCAGTCATTTATTATTAAACCTATGTGAGCTCTGTAGATTCCCTTTAAAACTTAAATGAATTAAGTCTTCTAGTTAGAACTGGCCACGTTAACAATGATGATGGATGAGACAATGTGAGACCAACTGATCGTCCTACGAAATTTTCTCCGTGCTCCCAATTTAAAACATTTACGGTATTACCGTTATTTGACATTTGCTAAAGTTTTGTCTAACTAAAAAACAATCTTCTATCGATTGAACTAGCTACCAGATGTGCCGTGCCAGTTTAGCGGAAGTCGGATGACAAAATGCGGAAGCGCGAAGTATTAAAAGTGGGCGGGGCGGAATAAGGTGATTTTGATAATAAGGCATTTTATGTCAAATTCACTTTATAAAAGACCCAGATTTCTAACTTTCATTCATGGAGATAAAATGGATAATTTCACATGGTTTAATGTAAGATTTTTGGCCATTTTTTGGAAAATGCAGTTTTAAAATAAAATAAAAATCACTTTAACCACTAGATGGCTATAGAGCTTCACTATATGCTATTTCACTAATCAAAATATATCTTTTCACAATTTTTTCCAGTTGGATTCATATCCACATTTTGTACATTTTATTTATGTTCAGTAGCTCTTTCTACTGTAGCTCTTTCTAAAGGTATTTTTTCAATTTTGCACATTTTATGTTCAGTAGCTCTTTCTAGCTAAAGCAAATCCACAAACTAATAAAAGGATTTATTATTTTTTATAAGGTCGTCTGTTGACGGCTGTTTATATAAAACCCCTTCAATATAGTTGTTGTTACCTCAGGGGAGGAGGGGAGTCAACAAAAAAATAATAATAATAATAATAATAATAGAGTACCGCCACCTCTTTAGGGCCACTTAAAGCACTGGCGTCAATTGATTTTGATTAATATGCGCGAGGGAGAGAGAGCAAGACAGCGCTCGTGTTGTTTAAAAGACGTGAGAGTGCGCGCGCAAACATGTCACAAACGCATAAAACAGCACAAAATATACGCTGTTTGATGGTGGATCGATTTGATCCACGATCGACCTCCACGTGAGATTGCGTGAACTTCAATTACCTTTTATGGAACCACTTTAGCCCCAACTTATTTGTTAGGCTCATTCAAGTCCGGTTTTGGAGTTTAATCCCCGCTTTTCTAAGCTTCATTTATGGAAGAGCCCCCAGGTCTTCAAATTTGATTTGAAGCTTTCATGTCCTTATAGAACTCATAATTACAACTTGTAAACTGGGAATTTTCTGAGAGCTCTGACTGGCACCACGTGACCCATGTACTACCTGACATGCTGTGAATGCAGTAAAACACAGAGTCGTTTTTGACATTATTACTATAGAGGATATTTCACTGACTCTTTCTACGTGGTAGAAACGGTGTCGGCCCACATCTGGAATCCACATGTACCAGATGTGGCCCGGATGTTGCCCGGATGCTGTCTGGGGAGCGAGTCAATGAACCATTTACTGAACTGATTCATTCTAAAACGGTGATTCTTTCAAGAGCGCCATTACTGTGTGTTCTGCTGTGGCTTTTTTTAGGACTCTTTTCCAAAAATAAACAAGGGAATAAAAACTGGCAATATTCTGTTAAGGTGCAGAATTTTATCATTAAATCGGAAAATGCAGTCATTTCAAAAGGAATGCACACAATCAGGAATTTTCCGTGAGGAAAGATTTTCCCAGGCAGATTTTGCATCAGGTTCGGTTGGTCTTGCAAATTGTCCCATTGATCAACAGACAGCAGCTTGGTTTGAAAGTAGCTTCTGTGTGAGCTGTGCATACATACACTATTGATAATAGACAATGGTTTCACACACAAAATTTTGCCAACATTTTGCAAATGCGATTGCACCTTTACTCAGTATTGTATGGAAGCTTGTAAAATAAAAATTAAATTTAAAAAGGTAATTGTGATTTTTTATCTCACAGTTTCTGACCTTGCATTTATATCTCGCAAATGCGAGAAAAAGCAACAATCTCCTTTCATTTTTTATTCTGTGGCAGAAACAAGCTTCCATAATCCATAATACTAATTTCTCCTTTAAAGAACCATTATATAAAATAAATCACAGTCGCTATCTATCCATCTTTTCAGATAAACTAAAATCGCATTTGTTCCTGTTGACCCTCCCCAGTTTGCGTCACAATCCACTGGAGATTAAGCCCTAAATCAAACACAGTCAAAGGAAGGACGGTGCGCCCCACTATACCTCCATCCACAGGTGCAAGGTCATTTTGCGATGCTAAGTGATTGTCCCAGTCCACACACACAACCAGGTGTTGAAATCCCTCTCGCTCCCGCTCTCTTTAAATGGCTTTTCTCCCTTCCAGTCCCTTTTTCACTATAACGAGAAATCCTTTTGAACGACTCCACTGCGACTCAGTGTTAGAAATATGCAGCTTTAATTCCAGAGCCCCAGAGCCTTTATTGCCATTTACATCCTCATTACAAATGACCAGGAATCCATTAGGTTCCTGTCATCCCCCGTATCTCATTAAGATGGGCTCTATCTAGCCAGTTCCTGGAGGCCTGGCCCAGGGACAAAAAGAAAGTAGAGATCAAGCACCTTTCAGTAGGATGTTCACATACTGATGAGGTGACAGGGTGCCGCCACTGGCCATCTATCTCTTTATTGGCAGAAAGAGAGTTCTAGGCATGGATATTGCAGAGGCCGAGAGCAAAAGGTGATAAAAAGCACATAAGGGATCAGGTTGACCTGTGAGCCTAGGGACCAGTCACATGAAGAAACCTTTAACTCCCATAATGTAATTTGAATATACATACATAACTGATTTAATTCAGCATTTGAACTTGTGCCTCTACAGAGAAAAGTAGTACTGGGATTTTAATTTTACTGGGACTAAATGGACTATAAACCAAGTAGGCCTAATGATAACAATAAAGTTTTAACAATCGTTCTAATTCTACCAGAATAGCTCAATCCACACCAGAACTATAACGATGCGACACAGAGGAACGATATTGTTGGAATCACTTTCAGATCCAGCTGATGAATGATAAAAACGTTGACAGCCAATCAGAGTTTGACCGAGAACGTTATCATTGTGTGGATGCTATTATAGGTAGCCTAGCGTATGAATTTTAATTCTGCCAATGGCCCAGTGCACATCCCAGCTATAACGACGACATAAGGAACGATATCGTATCACTTATGATAAAAACATTGACAGCCAATCAGAATTCACCCGTTTTACATAACTGCAGCGCGCGCTAAACATATCGTCAGTTGGCGTGAACGCCAATAATATTATCGTTTTAGGTGTGAACGGGCCTATTATTATGAGGTAATTTTCACTACAATCGATAGATGGCGCAATTGCTTTTGTACGAAACAAGAGAGAGTGGAAGATGAAAGTAGAATCATTAGGAAATGTATAAAGAAAAATCTGACCGCAGGAAACCGCGATTGACCAATAGGAATCAAGTTTTCCAGAGAGTGCATCTGAGGGTACACCTGTGAAGGAGCAAAGACACCAATGGATCTTACTCAGGATCCGAGGAAGTAGATGGTCGTTCTGCCTCTTTATCCTCCTCTTACGAGTCGCATCTGATTCCTGCATCAACAATGGTCATCGATCAATATGAAAGCCCAACTCGAGCAATAGGCTACCTAGTAGGCTATAAAGTGACTGACGTATTCCAGCTTTTTTATATTTATTTGGCCTCTGACATGATGATAGATGCGCAGAATATAGGCTAAGCCTGGTGTCTCTGGCAAAATAGCATGTCTAAACTGATTGGATTAACAGAGAATATTACACATTCAAATTATGGGACAAGATCATAATCAGGAAAATAAAACAAAGTTATGCGTTTATATTCTGCTCATTAAACTGGAAAGAAACCTCAAGAGCTTGATAATGTGAGCATTTCACATTACACCACACACATATTTGATACACTTCAGGCCCTGAAATGTTACATTCCCGGAGTGTGTTGGTTGATTAATCTCAGTTGGAACACCCTTCCACTCTTATTTGCCTCTTTGAAGGAATTTTCCTCCTGATATGTTTAATGTGGTTCACCCAAGTTACTGAGTTAGTGATGATGAGACCTGAGAGGAAACTCATCTCTCTCAAGATACTGATACACTTGATAACAGAAAGACTGCTGTGCATTTATTTGAAACATCTTTCATGTATATATCTGGGATTCATTGGAAATGTTGTTATTTTAAATCAGTATAGCTTAAACACTGACCTGAAAGAGCTTTTCTCCCGGCCAACATGCAGTGATTGAGCCTCTAATTATCTAATACCTCATTAACTACACCTGGCATTGGAATAGTGTAAGATCGCCCTCTAGAGGCCGCGAAGGAAACAAACACACGACTTACAGTCATGGAGGAAATGCTTTTGAAGGTTACTTACTGTTAGTTTTATTAATATATGGCACATGTTGATATGATATTGTATCTCCTTTTAATATTTTTGTCAACTTAACTTGGTTCTATAAAAAACATTTTTTATAATTTAGATTTTATATTTAGGGTGACTGTAACATTCTGTCCAGGAACTACAGATGCATATAATATAATATAATATAATATAATATAATATAATATAATATAATATAATATAATATAATATAATATAATATAATATAATATAATATAATAAATACAATACAATATGGACATCAATAAACAGCACGTCATCAATTAAAATTTTATTATGCCAGCACAGTTTTACCAAACAGTAGAATAAAATATCAAACAATTAGTGTTTCTCCATACATTTCTATTTTAAATTCATACATATAAAATCACTATAAAATGTTGCTCTTTAATATAGTCACTGTAAAAACTGTGGGATTTCAAACATTCACATGCTGAACGGTTTTTGCTACACCGTTTGGTAAAAAAACAACAAAAAAAACCTCATCTAACCAATCACACAACCCAGTCTGCAGGGGTGCTGGGCCACCCGGGACCGGTTTAGACCCAGTGTGAGCCTAAACCTAGTCCACTAGGACTAAAAGATCAGGCTTTCACTGCTCAAACTAAGCCCTTGATCAGGAGGACCGAGTGCAAACCTAGTCCAGACTCAGAGACTAAATGATGTTATTCCATCATAAAAATAAGACCAGATTTAGCATTAGATATTAATAATAATAAAAAGATTAAATAACTCAGCTGTTAAATTACGTCTGTAAATGGTCCGGACAGTAACTTGACTGGTAACAGGGTGGACGTGATTAAAACAGCAACTGCTGGGCAGTGCAAAACCATTTTATCATTCACTTCTGCTTCAAACATTCTCTAGTCTCACAACATCTAAAATAACATCATAAAAAAAAGGTTAAGATACATAACCGAGCGTGAAATGAACACATAATGAACTTTGGATAAAGCGTATGCAGATATAGAACGTTTTCTTGATTATTTGTAAAACACAGTGAGTTAATATGTCATGAAAAGGCATTGTCGGTGAGTCCCGTCTCTTTCCCGGGACAGTCAGTAGAGTCTTTGCATAGTGGAGAGGATCTAAAGACAGTCTTTTAAGGCACTGTGACGTGGAAAGGGCTTCCGGGCACCATTTCTTCACCCCATTTCACTATGAGGATGTAGTCTCCTTTCTCCTTCACTGTGTATGTGACATTGTACATTCTGTTGCCCATGTGTTTGACGTAGACTTCCTCACAGGGAGTCTTTGGCCCGTGCACTCCTACCATTAACATGTTTGTCCCTGCAAAAAAAATCAAATTAAAAGCAGTTTAGTCATCTGTAAATGTGCATTATGTACAAATACATCCATGCATGCTTGAAAAAGTGATGTACCTGCTTTACTGCAGTCCACCGTGAAGGTGTTCTTCTGGCCAATGAAGGCTTTGGAGAGTCCGGCCCCCCTGGAGACCACCTTACTGGCATCAGACGAGAACTTCGGCAGAGTGGAGAAAGATCCCGCCACCGAGGATGATTTTGTCACCGTTTCCACCAGAACCGATGACGTTTCGTGTAGAGAGTGTCCGCCCGACAGACGTGCGCCTGGAAGAGTGAATTTCTTTTTATTGATTTGCTTCATGAAAGATGAGTTGCTGTTCCATTTGGTAGTTTTACCTTCAAATCATTACCATGTCAAACGCAAGTAAACAGTTTCACACATTTTCATAGTTTTGTAAGCTTGTGTGGTTTCAAATCCGCTCCGTCATATTGCAAAATAATCCTGCCATGATCATCTCATAATCAGACTTTCCTATTTCAACATGAGTGCAAGAAACCTTTTATAGTTATTTACTCATATTTCAACAACTTCAGGGTGCTATAAGGGCCATTTTTTATGTTTAATATTTAAGGAACAACCATGCTGGGGGTTTTTTTTTCCATGTTTATAATCATCTTAATAATTTTGTATTCTATACTTTGTATGATATTTTTATATTAATAATACTTGATTTTTTTAATTTGTACTCTGTAACATTTTGTCCATGGACTACAGATGAAAACTGTGGCACATCTCCAGTAATGTTTATTAATTTGCTAGACTGCTTCAGGTGTTGACTTCATGTGCTATAAGCAGCTTTTTTTGAATGCCATGCATAAAAAGGTCCCGACTACCTTACAGATATGTGTCCTGAGTAACCACACCTGTCTCTGTGTCAGTCCTGTATGGAGACAGCAAAAAAAGCATAGTCTAAAGTAGTGTGTGATGTCTCACCGGAGACTTTGGCTTTGAAGGGACTGCCCACAATATGCTGCGGTCCTCCATATTTGATGGAGATGAGGTAGCTGCCGGGAGCCATGGGTGTGTATGTGACCTTGTATCCTTCTGGACATTCCTGACAATCCATCTTTACTTTCGATGGGCCGTCAATGGTAACCGACAGAGCTCCTGACCCAGCGTTACACGTGTTTACAATGAAATCCGAGGGTACACCTGTGGAGGATGAGATGTACTGAGTGAATGTATGTGCGCTTGTGTCTTAACACTTGTGATTGGCTGCTTGGTTGGTTGGCGTCATACCTGTAGTTCCGCCCTCCAGTCCGGGCCCAAAAGCAGTCACCATTCCTGGATCTCCCACCTGGCCGGGTTCCCCTACACGGATCTTGAAGGGACTGCCTGGGATGTGACTCCCGTTAAAACGGACATCAATGGAGTGGACGCCGTTCTCCCGTGGAATAAACCGTATGGCGTGTTTATCTGCACAAACAGGCATGCGATGTTGAATAAGTTCAAATCCAATCTATATCCATATACTCTAAACTAACATCAGTTCTAGTGTGTCTTTAAATATTACAGTGATCATAATTTGTAGGGTGTTGCATTATATTATTGTTTGTTTTACTGTATTTATTGTATTATGTCTGCATTTCTCTATTTTACCTCAATTTTCAGTTTTTGTAGCGCTTTGGGTATGAGAAAAACACATTATAAATAAAATACATTATTATTACTATTATTATTATTGTATAATTAATAATACACAAAATAAAAAAGTATAAAAATGGTTTAATAAAATAATATAACATATTTATATAACATAATAATAAGAAGAAATAAGAAAAAACTTGAATAATACACAAAACAACAAAATAATAATGAAAAATTAATGTTTAAAATAATATATTATATAATAATATATTAAGCAATGTATACATATATTTAGATAAAATAAATAATAACAACAAAAACAATATATAAAAATTATAATACAAAATAAAATAATATATTACATAATTAATACATACATATTTATATACTATAAATGTAAATAATAATAATAATATGCAATATAATACACAAAATAAAAAAGTATAATATGGTTTAATATTATAATATAACATATTTATATAACATAATAATAATAATAATAAAAAGAAAAAAATGACTAATATATAAAATGACAAAATAATATAAAATAATGGATTTTAAAAAGAATATATTAAACAATGTATACAAATATTTAGATAATATAAAATAATAATAATGATAATAATAATAATAATATATAACAAAACATATATATAAATAATAATATTAGTAATACAAAAATAACAAAATAATATAATACAAATTGTTTGATAACATAATATATTACAAAATCAATACATAATTATTTGTATACTATAAATGTAAATAATAATATTCATAATATATAAAGCAAAATTAATAATATACAAAGTAATGAAATAAAATATTTAACTAATACAATAGTATATTAAATAATATATTTTAATGATATATATTTAAAAAATACGATACTATATTAATAATAATAAAATTCTATAATAAAATAAAAAATAATCATAATACATAAAATCATATAATTAATTATAGATCAAATAATTCCCGTCTTTTTCTATACGCGAGTATGTGCCCATATGCTCACCATTGTCTAGCTCAGTGATGTAACACTCCTCCACTGCTCCAGACGGTGTGTGCACCTTCGCATCAATCGCTCCTCTCGCTCCGTTCAGCTGAACGGCAAACGAGGCCTCCTGGTTCACTTTCAGACCCATCTCCTGCTGAGAGAGCCATGCAGACGTAGTGTTTCATCTAATCTTCAGCATTTTAAAGCTGAGTATGTAAAGATGTGCAAGCATATACCCAACGGCCAACATAAAAACTACTTTGCCATGCTCTTTTGTCTTTCCTGAGAAACTGCAAGTACACTTGTCTCGTCTCATGATAAGCTGTTCTGTGCTCTCCATCAAGTGCTCTTACAGTCTCTCAAAGAGTGTGTTGATAAATAAGCTGCCATCCGCTCTCAAGAGTCCCTGAATCTCACCTGTCCCGCTGCTACAGAGAATAACGAGGCCTCTCTGCGTGAGTGTGTTTGATCTGGAGTCACTCACCTGCAGGCTGGTGATGGTAAGTAGGCGGGCGTCATCTGACAGTGATGCAATGGGAACGATGAAAGGGCTGTCTGGGATATGTTCATCGTTAAATTTGATTGACACCTCGTAGTCACCTGAAATGAAATAAATAAATGAAATGAGAGAAATTAAAGACTGAGAGCCATTGTAAAACACATCTGTGTAATTGAAAATAAGCATGAGCACTTACCAGGCTCCTGTACTACGTAGGCCACCCCACAGGAACCGTCCTTCCTGTCCTCAAAGGAAATCTCTGCTTTGCTGGGCCCCTCAACGGCTATGGACAAACCACCAGCACCCGCCTCACGAGTCCAGATACTAAACTCAGCTAAAAATCACACATAAAAAAAGGTTTAAAAAAATTATGCAAATGAGAAGAAAAAAAAAGTGGTCTAAGGTAATGTTCGCACTATCCCAGATAAACAGTGCCTGACTTCCTGTCAGTGTTATTTAAGGATTACTTATAGTATATACGTATATAAATATAGTATTTATTCATATTTTGAATAAGGTTTTGTTTTTAGAATTAGTTTTTTATTTAAAAGTTCACTTTTTAAAAGTTTTCATTTTAATTTTAGCTTCAGTTTTAGCAATTTTGTTATGTGCTTGCTTATTGTTTTTAACAATGTTATTATTTTGATAATTTTATTTCAGTTTTAGTACTTTTAGTGCTTCAATTTATTTTATTTCAGTTAGTTTCCAAGGTAACATCTCTAATTTGATTTTTTTTTTTTTTTTACATTTTTAATCTAATACTATATTTAAATAAATCTAACCGTACATTTTATTTTATTTCAGAGTTACTTAAATTAACAGAATTTTTTAAATATAGTTTTTAATTAACAATATCAATACTAATACTGCTTCCTGTCTCTTACCTGGAACTCCAGCCACACCCCTGTCCAGTCCAGTACCACCGGCCCGAACCTTGTGGGCCCCTCCCTCTCCAAGGGGCCCCACAGTGAACTGGAAAGGGCTTCCGGGGACATGCTGGCCCCTGTATTTGACATTGACCGTGTGGGGGCCCATCTCCTGAGGCACAAAGCGCACACTATAGGCGCTGTCCTCTCCTTCTACGATCTCAGCGTCATCCGTGTTACCGCTGGGACTCGTCACCTGTGCGGTCATCTCCTGTGTACCTGATTCACCTGAGAGAGAAAGAGGGACGGCGTTGAGTGTATGAGAAAGAGAGGGAGAGAAGGGAAAAGAGACAGGCACACGTGTAAACCATTCCACATAAAATTTCCGGCATTTCTTCTATAAAAGAAGATGTTTTGGCTGAGCTGGCCACAGGGCTGACGGCTGCTCAGATTTTCCAGCTCGGTTCTCATGTCATAAATGTCTGCAGTGGAAAGAGTGCGTTCACTCCCGCTCAAAAACCCCATAAAACACACACATACCATGACTTCATCACACACACACATACGCAATAACACAAAATTAAACTTGTAAGAGCTGCAAAACTTAAAGGGATAGTTCACTCAAAAACGAAAATTCTGTTATCAATTACTCACCCTCAAATCTCTCAGATTTGGAACATTTCAGGCGAGTAAAAAGGAAAAATTTCCCTTTAACCAGCAATCAACGCACACAAACACACACACACACACACACACACACACATGCACACACCCTCTGATTGTCGGCCCTGGCTGCTGCTGAAGGGTCCCAGGCTCTCCCTGCCCAGAAATCCACCGAATACGTTCCTGAAGGGGTCGCCCCCCACTTGGGTGCTCTCTTCCACCCGCACTTCTCTCTTGGTCTCGCCCGCATGGGTCTTGCTGATCTCTGTGCGTTCTGTGCGTGTGTAGGTGTGGCTGCTGCGGGTGAAGGTACGGGTGAGTCGCTCTTGAGCCGTCACCATCTGAAACCAGTTCCCTACAGACGAGGAACCCGGAAGACAGAGGAAAAAGGAAAGAGGAGAAGGAAGAAGGAGGGAAGCAATGAAAAAAGAGAAACAGGAAATGCAAGCTTCCGAGTAGAATGGAAACAAATTCCGTATTCTTTTTTTTTTTATTATTCTTTTTTTATCAAAACAACTTTAATTAAATTCTATACAGTTTCAAACGGAACCACTCTGATTTGAGAGACAGGAAGTGACATGACAGTGGGAGTCAGTGAGAAACAGGTGGGAAAGGAGACAAACCCTGCGTCCGAATATGCCTACTTCCCAACTACATAGTAGGCGTAAAACAAAGTTGTATGTCCGAATTCATAGGACAGTAAGCAAAAAGTACCCGCACGACCTACTACTTCCGATTCTGAAGTGCATCTGATGAACACTTTACTATCCCATGAGGCCACAGTAAAAGAGATGTGCATGGCAGTGAAGCAACGCAACTGACGCTGGTAGGTCACATGACAGTGACAACATGGTGGATGTAGTATGTCCAAATTTCATTCTTACTACCCATATTCATACTTTACAAAACATAAGTTTAACAGTCGTGAACTAATAATCAAACCAAATGTACTACCTACTAGGCATCATGCAATTTCAGAAAGACTTGATTCGAGACTTGACAACCCTCCCTTGCATCTCATTCCTTTTCTGCTCACCTGGAATCTTGAGGTTGAGGTCGCAAGTGCTGCCCACCGTGGCGATAGAGGGCGCCTGCCTCTTTCTGGTAATACTCTCCTTCATTCGTCCCTCGCCCAGAACCTTCACTGTAAATGGACTTCCTGTGGAACGACATGAAGAGTTTGAGAGTCGCCCACCTCAGAAAGCACGCATTTCAAAAAGACTCATGTTTGAGGTCTGTGCAGTACCTGGCACATGTTGGTCTGCGAATTTGATGTTGATGATGTATGTTCCGGGTTCGGTTGGGCAGTAGGTCACTTTGCATGTTCCGTCTTCCACATCCGAACAATTAATGTCAACTTTGCTTGGCCCCTCGATAGACAGACCCAGACCTCCATAACCTAATGTACAGACCAAGTGGGATTTATGCATGCTTCAATACAGTGCGCAAAAGTAGCTCAACTTTTCAGTGGATCTAAAGACTATGCATTCGAAAGTGTTTGGGTCAAAAGTCAAAACTCAAGTGTACCTTGGGACTAAGTGCATAATGGACACCACATACCTAGACGTCCTAGAATACCATTTACCTGCACTTCTGGTGTCCACGATAAACTCAGCCACTTCAAAGGTGTGTCCTTCAATCAGACCTTTTCCAAACACCTTCACTTTACTGGCATCTCCAATCTCAGACTGGCCCACCATGATCTTGAATGGGCTGTTGGTCACGTGTTTTCCATTCTTCTTTACACTGACCACATGCTCTCCCACCTCCTTAGGAGTGAAGGATATTCCTGAAGTAAAAAAAACAACGGGACAGGTCTTTGTTCAGGTTTAATCAGAGTTTTTTTTATGGTAGCACTATCAAATCTAACAAAAGTGATAGGCCTCAGGATTAGGCTTTACATCAAAAGCCTTTTCTGAGCTTATAGTTGATTCTCTTTGAAATCACATGAAGGAGCTCTCGGTCTCAAATAACATTTTTGAGACAAACCCTAAGGCATCACTAGATCAGAAAGTTTCAGTGTTTCAGAGGACTCATACTTTCTTGTTTAGGGAAACCTAAAAGGTGTCTTCTCCAAAAAATGTGTCTAGTTTCTGAAAGTGTTATTCTGGAAAAGTTATTCTTATTTCCAGGGGTGTACATAAACATTTGTCCAATTAAATGCTGTCTAGAATAAGAATGCCCTTCCCACTAAAACTACCTGCAAATCATGGTGGATGGCCCTTCAACATCTCCTGCCTAAACTTAATATGATCAGGCTTTTGTACAGGTTGCTTTATCAGTTCAGTCATGACGCAGGTAGGTGCTGGCAGGCTTGATGAGTGACTTACCGATGTGTCGGTTTGGCAGTCTCTTCAGCAGGCAGGGCTCCTCGTTGCCAGATGGGGCTCTGATACTCGCGGTCAGGGAGCTCAGGTCCGTCTCTGTGATCTTCAGAGACACGTCTGTGGCCGTGCCAACGTTCAGCTGAGAAGTCCTCATGGAGTCATCGCCTTTATCAAGAATGTGAGAGGATAAAGTGAGGAGCCATAATCAATAATGACTGTTAATACACTCACCGGCCACTTTATTAGGTACCCCATGCTAGTAACGGGTTGGACCCCCTTTTGCCTTCAGAACTGCCTCAATTCTTCGTGGCATAGATTCAACAAGGTGCTGGAAGCATTCCTCAGGGAGTTTGGTCCATATTGACATGATGGCATCACACAGTTGCCGCAGATTTGTCGGCTGCACATCCATGATGCGAATCTCCCGTTCCACCACATCCCAAAGATGCTCTATTGGGTTGAGATCTGGTGACTGTGGAGGCCATTTTAGTACAGTGAACTCATTGTCATGTTCAAGAAACCAATTTGAAATGATTAGAGCTTTGTGACATGGTGGAAGTAGCCATCAGAGGATGGGTACATGGTGGCCATAAAGGGATGGACATGGTCAGAAACAATGCTCAGGTAGGCCGTGGCATTTAAACGATGCCCAATTGGCACTAAGGGGCCTAAAGTGTGCCAGGAAAACATCCCCCACACCATTACACCACCACCACCAGCCTGCACAGTGGTAACAAGGCATGATGGTTCCATGTTCTCATTCTGTTTACGCCAAATTCTGACTCTAACATCTGAATGTCTCAACAGAAATCGAGACTCATCAGACCAGGCAACATTTTTCCAGTCTTCAACTGTTCAATTTTGGTGAGCTCTTGCAAATTGTAGCCTCTTTTTCCTATTTGTAGTGGAGATGAGTGGTACCCGGTGGAGTCTTCTGCTGTTGTAGCCCATCCGCCTCAAGGTTGTGCGTGTTGTGGCTTCACAAATGCTTTGCTGCATACCTCGGTTGTAACGAGTGGTTATTTCAGTCACTGTTGCCCTTCTATCAGCTCGAACCAGTCTGGCCATTCTCCTCTGACCTCTGGCATCAACAAGGCATTTCCGCCCACAGAACTGCCGCTCACTGGATGTTTTTTCTTTTTCGGACCATTCTCTGTAAACCCTAGAGATGGTTGTGCGTGAAAATCCCAGTAGATTAGCAGTTTCTGAAATACTCAGACCAGCCCTTCTGGCACCAACAATCATGCCACGTTCAAAGTCACTCAAATCAACTTTCTTCCCCATACTGATGCTCGGTTTGAACTGCAGGAGATTGTCTTGACCATGTCTACATGCCTAAATGCACTGAGTTGCCGCCATGTGATTGGCTGCTTAGAAATTAAGTGTTAACGAGCAGTTGGACAGGTGTACCTAATAAAGTGGCCGGTGAGTGTATATATATATATATAAACATACTTTTTTTATAAAATGTCAAAAAAACTAAAAGAAAAATGTAATATATAATAAAAAATATTATAAAAATTGACAGTGCAGACATACATTGTTGCAAAAAAAAGAATACTATGTATTCCAACTCATAATGTTGAATTTATATTCATCAAAAAAAAAATCACAGTTAAAAAAACTGTTTTCAACATTGATAGAAGGAGAAATGTTTCAAATCAGCATTTTAGAATGATTTAATTATACATAACAATTTCAGCTTTGCCATCACATGAATAAATTCCATTTTAAAATATATTAAAATGCAAAACTAAAAAATATTTCACAGTATTAATGTTTTTACTGTATTTTTGATCAAATAAATGCAGCCTTGGTGAGCATGAGAGGCTTCTTTCAAAAACATTTTAAAAATCTTACCAACCCCAAACATTTGAAAGCAGTTCTTGTTTATTTATTTATTATAACTAGCAAATATGATCCAATTATTAAAATAAGCATTCGTTGTGCGGGTGCAACCCCAGTTCCGTCACAGAGACAAATTGAGGGGCAAAGTGAGAGTGAGACTGGAGGAGGGGGAAACAGCTGCTTCCTGTTTCTAAAAATTCTGCCTACTACTTTTAGAAGCATTTTACAGATGTGGTTAAATTCTCCAGGTGTGTGAAGGCATGCGCACACACATAAATACACACGCCAGCTAATTTAGTGATTCACAGACATTATGGAGAGACATAACTTTGCCCTCTCTTGTTCATCCTCTCTCTCTCTCTCTCTCTCTCACTCATAGCCATATTTGGGTACACACAAACACCAACCTGTGATCTTGGCTGTAAAGGGGCTTCCAGCAATGTGCTTGTCATCAAACTTGACGATTATGTTGTAGTCTCCTGGGGCCGTTGGCAGGTAGGACACAGTGCAGGTGCCATCTTTATTATCCTTACAGCTGATCTCTGCCTTAGAGGGGCCCTCCACTGCCAAAGACAGACCTCCTGAGAGAAGATGAGAGTGCACTGTGGATAGTCAAAAGTCTGGCAATGTGAGACTAATGCAATGCGACTGTGAGGCTGCCAAGCTTGGTTTGTGTGTTACCTTCTCCAGCGTCCTTAGTGACGATTGTGAAGGTTGCAGATTTGTTGACCATGCCATGACTTAGACCAGGGCCGTGTGCATTCACATGCCCACTGTTAATGGCATCGACATAGAACTGCAGTGGACTTCCTGTAGGAAGACATTAAAAGAGCGTCACTTCATGTTTCCAGATGATCCATGTCAAATACAGACATTATTTAACAGACCAAATTATAACATTTTAGTGCAAATTTCTGATTGTTTGGGTACCTGGTATGTGATTCCCGTCATATTTGATGTCCATCTCATGCAGGCCCTTCTCGGTGGGGGCGTATTTGACTGTCACTGTCCCGTCCTTGTTATCAGTGATGTTGGGACGGGCGGTCTTACCAGAAGGCATACGTACCTCACCTGGAAAAAGACAAAATGCCACCTTTTCAAATACAGAATTGTGTAGGCCCAAGTGAAAAAGAAGTGTGCTCAATTGTAACGAATGTGCACGTGTAGTGTACTTAAAATCCTAAACATACAGTATATTTTTTTTTAAACTCTACTTGCAGTTGCGGACAATATAATATGATTGAATTAAAAGGCCAGATAAGTGTACTTTCATGATTATGCTTCTTAACACATTTAAGTACACTTTTAAAAAGTGCACTTTGTAATGGTTTACTTTAAAACATGATGTTTTAATAATGTTTTGTCATGCTTTTGTATGAAAAAAACCCCATGCAATTAAGTGTCTGAAAACATTACATTCAGTTCGGGCTTAAGTACAATCTTTTATTTCTATAATAAATTCTCCTTTAAAACAGCATGTCAAAGTGTACTTCATTTTCACAAGAGGGTGGTTGTCAGAGTGTTGCTTACTGGCCCAGGGTTAAAGAAGGTTTTTAAAATATTTTTGCCTTTGCAAGTACCTCTAATGATTATCTATTTATTTATGAATAAATTATTACATAGTTATTAATTTTATTAATTAATAAGTGTAAATACCTGTAATCTCCCCCTTTTGCACAGTAAATGGAATGACAAGATTGAATGGGCGGAGCATTGGCTCCATGGCATCCACTGCAGTGATTGGTTCCTCAGTGGCCTGGAAAAGAAAGAGATTTCAGCATCACTGCACTGCTAACTAAGGACAGTGAGCCGAAAGTGCAGGCAAAGGATTAATGACTGAAAAAAGAAAGAAAAACAGACAAGGGCCTGACTGGTTGAGCTGCAATAGATGAAATAAAAGCAGCATCTACAAAGCCAAATAAAAGAGACTTGTGCAAAACACTGCCTCTGCAATGGGAGATCAACAACCGATTCATTAACTCTACGAATGCATGATCAGCCAACTAGCCGTTTAAATAACTTGTTAAAAAGATGTCAGCAGCAAAGCTCATGGAAAATGTTGCAAAGATGGAGGAAATGAAAAGGTATAATGATAAAGGCTGAGGAGCAGAAAGCATTTAGGATGTTATCTGATGGCTACGGGTGGTGTGTACCCAGTGAGGGGTGTAGCCCTTGTAGGGGGCGTAGGGCTGCTGTAACTGCAGTTTATCACACGGTTCCTCAATTATAGGGATGGTATCAGATGCCTGGAGAAGGAGGTGGTCACATGTTTAGGGCTTCACACAACACACATTTACATGCAGCTAATTCAATTCGACCCACTGAACTGGAATTGAATTGCTAAGTTAAATTCATTCTCAATGAATGAAGTACAATAAAAGTTTCTATTTGGGAGAATGATTATTTTGTAAAAACACACCATGCACTGTAGCCATATTTTGGAATTATTTATGATCATCTGGGTAAAAAAAAAAACACTGATTTTTTTTTTTTTGGAAGATATTAAAACTTTTTTTTCAGCAAGAACACAATAAATTGATCAAAAGTGACAGTACAAACATTTATATTGTTGCAAAAGATTACTATTTCAAATAAATGCTGTTCTTTAAAGCTTTCTGTTCACCAAAGAATCATGGAATATGATCAAATAAATGCATCCTTGGTGAGCATAACAGACTTAACATTACAAAAATCTTACTGACCCCAAACTTTTGAACGGTAGTGTACATACTGTACACAAAGATATACAAAATATTTAGTATTATTATAATATGCAAAAATCACTACCCATAATGCAGATACATAATGCAGAGGTGCTTACCACCACATGGAAGGGACTGTTGGGAATGTGCTCTCCTCCAAAGCGAATGGTGATGACGTATTTCCCAGGTTCTGGAGCAGTATAATAGATATCAAATGTTCCATCTGCATTCTCCACCACATCCACGTCTAGCTCCGCCCCATCTGGAGTTGACACTTTGCAGGTGACCTTCCCCTTCCCAGCAGCCTTTGCATCCACAGTGATAACGGTCTCCTCGCCAATTTGAATGGTGGGTCCGAGCCCTGAGCCTGACCAATGGTACAGCCACAAAGCAATTATAATAAAGATTACAATACATTTTCTACACCAATTACAATAACATTTTCTACACCAATCAGACCAAATGGGGCCACTTTGAAAACATGAAAAAGAGTGGCCTAAACTGATCCCAGATAAAAGGCTGGCAAAGATCAAAAGAGGTAACTCACTCAGTCCGTGTCCCCCAATCGACACTACAGATAAAAGAAAGATTTGTTAGAATTCATGATCATAAAGTTGTGCATAAGATGCTCGGTCTTAAAAATAAACCAACTAGTGCTGCGATTGCATTTTTATAAAGCAATAAACCACAAGACACTAATAACAACAGTAATGAACAGCAATACACCACTATAAAAGGCCACAAAGGGGTGGGACATAGACATCTATAACTGACCTGTCACAAGGCATTTGCTGGCATCTCCACTGGGCAGCGCATGGATGCGGTAGGGGGAGTATGGAATCTCATCCCCGCCATATTTGATTGTAATAGTGTAGCGCCCTGTCATATCCGGGACATAGGATACGGTGTACGTTCCATCTCTGTTATCCCGAATATTGGCTTTCTTTGGCTTTCCTTCTGGGTCCTGCAAAAGGAATGAGTAGTTAAAGTGTGTTCATGCGAATGAGTATATATTCGTAGGAAATCCTCGTTTCTTTTAAGTTTTGAGTAGTTGCTAAAATAAATGTAGCAAATATTCAACAAGGCAATATTACTCATTCATATTACATATCAAGCATTTCTGACGGTTAGTCATGTAGTGGAAAACCACATGTAGGGTTTAGCCTAAATCTAATGACAGGTCAGTCCACAGTGACCACTAGAGGGCAACATTAAGGGTCCCCTTGACAAGCACAAAATGATCAAGTATGGCTGCCTGGGAGAAAGGTTCACTCTCACATCCATAAATGCCACTTTTGTGCAAGATGAAAATGTTTTTGGATGCTTTTGCTCGTGTGCAGTTTGGAAACACCCGTTTTGTTTGAAGTGAAGTTTTCTCCCTTCCTTTTTAGAATGGGAAGTAGTATGATTATAAAAAACAAGGATCATCCTCAAGAAATGACAATTCCCAAGTTACTTCTTGCTATAATTGTCATTGAATGTGGTATGCATGAACGATGAGGACACAAGATAGATAGATAGATAGATAGATAGATAGATAGATAGATAGATAGATAGATAGATAGATAGATAGATAGATAGATAGATAGATAGATAGATAGATAGATAGATAGATAGATAGATAGATAGATAGATAGATAGATAGATAGATAGATAGATAATTCCCGTTTGTTCCCATTATTAGGGAACAAATATGAAACAAGGAACTAGGGAATAACTAAGGAAAAACTAGGGAATAATTGGAGGGGAAAAAGCAGTCAAAGGAGCAGGGGAACTGGGGTAGGGTGTACAGTAGCAAGGGAACAGGCCATGAGCGCTTAGGGGCCCAAGGCTGATGGGAGAGACGCCAGACACGGTGAGTTATAACAACAAAAGGAGGCTGAAAGGAGGAGCCGCCTTACACATCCTTTCCTAAGAATATGGAAGGGGATGGTGCCCTTTACAATGTGGTTCTCCCACACCCTCCTACCCCAGTCCTCCACATACACAGAGGCCTCTTGCCTGCAACCATCCGGACCCTACAGCGACAGCAGGGAAGAGGTCAGAGGTCAGGGCAGAGGGAAGCGGAGGGCAGGACATTGGCTGTTAAAGCACAAGTGATCATCAAGGGAAACCTTCTTGTCTTAAAACATCTCAAAAAAGAGGCCTGAGCGAGTGCTGGTGTCACTCACCAGTATCTGTACGGTGAGAAGACCCTCCCCTGCATCACGGGCATCAATGGTGAACTCCACCGGCAGGCTGGCTGGCACCCCGGAAGCATTTAGGCCGGGGCCGCTGGCACGGACTTTACTGGCATCGTGAGCGGGCAAAACCTTGATCTTAAATGGACTGAAAAGGGGAAAATAGAGGAACAGGCATATGCAATGATCACATACTTCCTTTATTTCGAAGTGCTCTTCTAATTTCTAAACCAGCACTGAACTTTGGTTATGTTTGGTCATACCACACATAGACTACTCATGTCATTAATATTAAGACTTTATTAATACTTTAGGCAGCACGCTCACCTGCGTGGCACTTCTTGGTCTGCATACTTGACACAGACAGTGTACGGTCCATCTTTAGCAGGAGTGTAGATTACTGTGTGGGTGCCATCACCGTTGTCTGTGATATTCACCGGCTCTGTCATCCCTAGAATAATAACACAGTTGATCTCTCTAATCCACTGCAGACTCGCTCTCACTCGTATCCAAGGTAAATCATCAACACTATCATCCCTTACATGTGTTTTATTTAACTAAATACATAATCAGCTAAAACGCGCACCCGAGTCCGTGTTGCTTTCACATTCACGCGAACCGCGGCACGGGCCCGCCATGCACGCAAGTGTAAACGCAAGCTGCATGGCTGCGTGCCTGCCTGCTTTCAGCGCGATTCATTATAAGGCAGAGCTAAGCATAGTAGGCTAGTGCAGACTCTTTCAATTTATTTGTATAGCGCTTTTCACAATACATATTGTTTCAAAGCAGCTTTACCTAAAATGCATGCATTGCATCTACTTTAGCCTACAATTCAGAGTGATGTTATCAGTTATGCATTTCAGAAATGTACATATAAACATGTATTAATTTAAGGCAGAACAAAGAGCTAATTTAAGTAATGAATACATGCATGTTTGTTAATAGAGGATTAGATTAGGACTCTGACTAATATGGTATAGCCTAATGGAAATGCAGATATTATGCTTAGATTGTTAATACATCATGTTTTTCAACTGGTGACAATTTATATTTGAACAGAATTTTACAAAATTTTGGCCCTTCAGTTGAGTTCAAAATAAAATGGACACAACGAAATGACAAACAATGTTTTTTTTTTTTTAAATTACTCGTTTAGATTAGTCGACTAATCGAAAAATTAGTCGTTAGAAAATTAGTCGTTAGTGGCAGCACTAGATGTAATACATGCCCCACATTGATAAAAGCTATTTATTAAATTCAAACTCTGGACATTTAACAGTTCAAGAACAAGTCAATTGCCACCGAATGCTTTGAAAATGGCAACAGAAGAAATACTGAGAGGGGAACTTGCTTCTAAATAACTTATGATGTACATATACTAAGTATGAATATGCATATATACAACTTCTTCAGACTAGCTAAGCACACACACTTATACTGTTTACACTTCAAAGACTTTTAAGTCAATTTTCTAGGCATTCTAGTAATTCAATTTCTAAAAGCTAAACTGAAGCACGTATATACTTCAAGGACCTTGTCCAAACGCGTTAAGTGTTTTTCCAGTTTATTTTCACCTGTAGGTCCATACAGCAGCACCTCCAGTGGGGCGACTCCAGCCTTGCTGCAGTCCACAGTGAAGGTCTGGGGGACGTGGGCTCTTACTCCACTGCCCAGACCAGGACCAGAACACTTCACCTTACTGGGGTCCACCAGCTCCCTCACAGGCACCCTGAATGGGCTACCTAAACACCCACAGAGATGATACAGTTACAGTTTTTCTCCATAAAATGATCAAACAGACTTTGAGGTATGAAATACTCAAGCTTTAAATCAAAATGTCATGATTATTTGCTTCTAAATGTCTTAATCAACACTTCAGTGCAATGTCAATGACTAATTAATGTGTTGAGTTCAATCAGAAACAAACCATGGAATGAATTAGACAGAAGGAAATTACATCATACCTGGGATAGGCAGGCCTCCGAAAGTGATGTTGACATCATATTCCCCAGGAGTGAAAGGAATATACTCCACACTACAGCTGCCATCTTTGTTGTCTTTACAAGACATCTTAGCTTCTGATGGACCCTCAATGGCCAATCCAAGACCACCCGTGCCAGCACCCCTGAAAGAGAGGAAAATACAGACAAGTATTAAGTATTTTCACAGCAAAACTATTCATATAGTGCATCCAGTCCTGGAGGGCCACTGACCAGAAGAGTTTAGTTACAACCCTAATCAAGCACACCTGAACAAGCCAGTCAAGGTCTTCAAAGTTACTAGAAAATTCCAGGTAAGTGAGTTCGATCATGGTTGAGCTAAACTCTGCAGGACTGTGGGCCTCCAGGGCTGGATTTGAGGAACCCTGATATAGTGTATGCTGCTTAATTTTCCATAATTAAAATGATAGATCATAGAAGGTATTTCAGCGGTCACATTAGCGATATTTCAGCAACATTTTTAGGGAGAAAAAATGGTTAATTGTCTATTGTCATTAGCGTAGCGATGTATGAAGCACAGTTTACACAGGAGACACTTTAAAATCAAACAGATTTCTGTTGGTCAGAGTAGTGCAATTTGCATGACCAACTGGAACATCGAAATCTGCGTGGGGAACTTTTTCTCCCTCATGCAAAACTTAAGATTGTGGAGGTGTTCAACAGCAGGCGTTCATAGGAATATGTACCTGGTCTCCACAGTGAAGCGGTTGGATTTGTTGACCAGACCCTCTTCCAGACCAGGACCGTAAGCACGTACACGGCTGGGATCACAACCTTCAGTCACCGCCACCCTAAACGGGCTCTTGGGGACAGGTACGTCATCATATAGCACCTCTATAAGATGCACACCTGTACAAACACACAAAAATAACATATCTATATATGAAGCTGGAAAGAACTTTCTCATTCTGGCAAGATCCGATTTGACTGGTTTACTTTAAAGGTGCACATCTAAAGAACTACCACCTTTAAAGAAAAAAAAAAAAGAGACAAAAAAGAGAGAGTGTGTGTGGCCATATAGAGAGACTGTGTTTTTCTCTCAGTCAATAGTTGTGATGGAATATTATCAAGGCATCATGGGAAAAAAGACATCAGCAGGCTCTGCTCAAAACACAATGAACAATGAATGAATTTCCATCTTACAACATTGACCTCCACACAGAACGATCAATACAGCAGCCGTGCTCAGAATAGCAGACAGCTCTCTCTCTCTCTCTCTCTCTCTCTCTCTCTCTCTCTCTCTCTGTGTGTGTGTGTGTGTGTGTCATGATTCTCGGGGAGGAAAGAAATGCCAATATAGCCTGTTAAATTAATGAAGATTAGGGCAGACACATATACCAGCTTACCTCAGCTTTTAATTTTAATTACATTTTTAATTTTAATGATCAGGTTTTACAAAATGACATCAATTCAACAAAAATATTTTTTTCCTATCTGCTGGATATCTTACCATCCTCATATGCGGTATACTCTACTCTGTAAGTGCCATCTGCTTTGTCAGTGATGTACGCATCAGTGCTGGCACCTGATGGGTTAACAATACGAACTTTGATGTGGTTTCCACCAATCTTGTTGTGAACCCGAGTGTCAACAACAAAGTGTGTAGTGACCTCTCGGAGTACCCCTGTGAAAATATAGCAGAATTTGCTAAGTACAATGGTACTAAACACATTCAACCAAGTGTGATTTTAGATGCCCTCCTTACCTCTGGGCTCCACTCCTGGACCATAGACCTTGATTCCACTGGTATCAAGAGCAGGATCCACTTGCACCCTTGCAGGGAACTTAGGCACTGCATGTCCTCCGTATTTGATCGTGATGGTGTACATTCCGTGGAAAGGAGGGATGTAGGTGATAGAATAAGTTCCATCGCTGTTATTCTGGACATGAACCTCTGCCTGCGTTCCTGAATCGGAAATAATCTCGATGGTCAACTCCGCCTCCCCTGCTTTAGAGCAGTCCACCGTGAACGACGCTGCTTCATTGACCTTTCCTCTCTCCAACCCTGGACCACTAGCTGTAACCTTGCTGGGGTCGAAGACGGACTGCACCATGGCTTTGAAGGGGGAACCAGGGATGTGAGCATCAGCAAACAGGATGTTGATGGAATATTCTCCAGGCTCAGTGGGCAGATAGGACACAGAGCAAGATCCATCTCCATTGTCCTGGCACTCAATCTTTGCTTCACACGGGCCCTCCACAGTCAGCCCGAGACCCCCTGTACCTGCGCCTTTAGTGTCGATGGCAAATGGAGCGGGTTTACCCACAATGCCACCCTTCAGGCCAGGGCCATAGGCTCGCACCTTGAAGTGAAAACGAGACAAAACTTTTGTCAAGATTGCCTTTCAATAACGTATCAAACCAGAATTCTTAGAAACTTGAAAATAATCAGGAATTAAAAAGTAATTAAACCTAAAAATGAACCAGAAAATATAATACTTTAATATAATTAAATTATACACGTGGTATATGTGGTAAGTATAATAATAGATTCAGGAACTCTGGAATTTTAAACAATTAATGCACACCTAAGTTGTAATGGCCACTCTGTGTGTGCATTGAATTTTCTATAATTCAATGATACAACATCCTTTCACAGTACTAGAGAACAGTCCAACATTTTTCAAAGTCAGACGGTATCATTTATATCCATTTATGGTCAGAGATCTGTATCTCTTTCGGTAATATACAGACAAATTATCTAATGATCCTCAGTGTGACCTCGGCCCAGTGACAGAATGGAGCAGCCATTCCACATGCGGATGAAGTACCATGTTTGGCACACTACACTTGAGTTCACCTCTCCCTGACAGATTAATAAACACCAACCGTCCTCTAATAATTTCCAACAATGGCTTAATGGCCTTTTGTGTTTGTTTTAGGCTTCTTCAATGACACAACTGATATACAATCTGGAGGGTCTGGCTCACGGAAAAGGAAAACGCTCACTGGAACAATCCAGCACTGTAGAGAACAGGCATACATACAAACAAGAAAAATACACATAAAATAAAATACAATTAAATTAAATTGGTTTACTTTGGAACTAACATTGCTGGAATAAACAAACAGGACATTTCCTTGCACAGAGGATCAAGAAATGTTGTTTTACAAAATCTGGTTCTAGTTTAGATTGATCATTCTGACTCTGGTTAGTGGCTCTGAAGAACACTCTGAAGGTCTTTCTGACTTGTGAGGTAAGGATTGTTTTTAGCCTTAAGCTTGAGAAAGGATCCTAGAGTGAATCGAAATGCCAAAGCACAATAAAAGCACTGTCTCCATCAACAGAACACACAGAAAATACTGATGAGATCATTTAGGTAACAAATATTGTATAATCAAAAGGATTTGCAGTACTCAGGAAAATTACGGTTCAATAAGACGATGACGTATAAACAAACAAATCACATTCTCCTATTTGTGACTCCTACCTTTGAGGGATCTGGAGGCATCACCCCCTCCACCGTGAAAGGACTTCCTGGCACGGGGTTTCCATCATAGCTGATGTCAACTTTGTAGGGCCCCTCTTCTGGCGGAATGTACTTAACTGTGTGCACCTCATTGGATGCTCCAGATTCCACCTTGCATGGGATTGGCCGGCGAGAGGGTGAGGTGATCTTGACATCCACCTTTCCTTGACCTCCCGCGCCAAGTGTATTAATGGTAAACTCCTCATCTTTCCCTACATCCACTTCTAAACACATAGGCACAAGAAATATGTACAATATGTTCAATCAACATAGTTATTATTTCAGTCCACACATAAAAAGCCTGAAGATTTGACTTGCTGTGGACTTACTGGTGTTGAGTCCTTGAACTTTGACCTTGTTGAGATCCAAAGGAGGAGCGATAGTAATGGTAAATGGGCTTTTGGGGATGGGGTCACCACCATGGCACACAGATATGCTCATGTTACCCTGGATCACAAAAAAAACAGGACTGAGCAAGATGTTTTATAATACTATAATAGATTTATAATACCATAATAGCATGTGACCACATGGTGTCCATTTTTATCAAACGTAACCCACTGCTGGAGTGTCTCACCTGCTGTAACGCAGTGTAGCGCACAGTGAAAGAATAGTCGTGGTTATCAATGATCTCAAAGTCACTGACGGCTTCTCCTTTCCCAGATGCGGTGAAATTAACCTCAGGTGTGGCCTTGCCTGCTCCTTTAGTATAGATCGTGAAGTGGGTCGGCTTGCCCACTTCCACACCTGTGATAGAGACACATAACATGCAGATAAGATTAGCTATTTTTACCTACTATTTTTCTAATTTCAGTTGCTGGAAATGAAACTGACCTGTCTTGCTGAGCCCAGGACCTTCTGCTTTTACCTTATTAGCATCATGGGATGGATCAACTTTGATACGGAAGGGGCTGATGGGAATTTCCTGTTAATTTGTTAAAAACAACACAAAAAAACCTCAAAGTTTTTAGAACTCAAATAACAAACAGAATAATTTCATATTATAGACTATGACTGACCTGATCCGCAAAAAGCACCATGATGGTGTAGCGTCCGGCTCCAGGGGGTGTATACTTCACTGTGAATGTGTCGTTGTCATTTTTAATGATGTCAAAATCAATATCTGCTTCGGCAGGTCCCACCACGCCAGGAGCGCACTTAATCCCAATGCTAACATCTCCTACAGAGTCAGAACAGATATAAAAAAGGAAATAAGCTCAATTTCCAAATTTCAAATATGAGTTTAAATAACGTTAGCAGTCACGTTTGGTCAGACCTTGCCCGGCCTCACTGCAGTCCACAGTAAAGTATGTGGGTTCGTTGGCCTTCAAGCCAGTCTTCTCCACTCCTGGTCCATGAACCTTCACGTTCTCTGGGTGACTGCCTTCTCCAATGGTCACCTAAGAAATGTAGGAAGACCATAGTTACATATTGTAAAACTAAGAACTGAAAGCTTTTGGAGGACAGTGGTTCTAATAAAGCTATGATCCAATATGGAACCTATGATCTAACATGGTCGTGAAAAGGGAAAGTGTGAAATCTAACACTGGAAAAATGTGGTCATGAACTTTCATTGAAAGGCTGAGCTGTTGTAGATCCAATTCATGAAAAATCTTGACAAACAGCGACATTAAAATGTCATCAGTTGGCGGAAATCTGCATGTTGACAGTGAGCTCTCACCCTGAATGGACTGTTGGGAACATTGACCTCTCCCCAGGTGATGATGATAGTGTGTTTGATGGGCTTGGTGGGTATGTAGACGCAGAAATATGTACTGTCACCGTTATCTGTGATTTGGATATCGATGGGGAAGCCTTCTGAGTCCTGGAATAAAAGAAGGACAAACACATTTGGAATAAAAGAAGGACAAACACATTTTGTACCAGTGAAGTGAGGCATGAGGCATGACGCATCTGGGACTTGTATGAAAATGTACCTGAGCATAAATCTGTAGATGTCCTCTTCCAGCTCCACTGGCGTCAATTGTAAACTCAGCAGGTTTGTTTACGATGCACCCAGTTGGCTCCAGCCCAGGTCCGTAACACTTAATCTGCATAAAAAAGAGTTAGTTCAGTTACCGCTGTCATTTATTATTCCCAACAAATGTGCAATCATTATTGTCAATAGTGACAGGGCAGACCTTCTCAGGGAAGATGTCATTGGCTGCAGGGAGGATGTGGGCCATAAAGGGGCTGTCTTTGATATCTTCATCATCACAGATGACATGGACCGCATAGTCACCTGGCTCGGTGGGCCAGTACAAAACATCACAAGATCCATCACCCTTGTCATCACACTCTATTTTAGCCTGCGAGGGGCCTTCGATGGAGAAACCTGTGCATGGAAGTGAGTTTTCAACCATTACCAAGGCATCTCATCAGACTATAATACAGTGGTTCCAGCACTTTCCTCCAAAGTTTAGTTCCACCCTTTATCATGCACCTGCCTGTAACTTTCTAGTAATCCAGAAGGCCTTGATTAGCTTGTTCAAGTGCGTTTGATTAGTGTTGGAGCTAAACACTTCAGGAAAGTGGACCTTGAAGGCCAGAGTTGAGAACCCCTGCCATAAACACTAGATCCCTGGATACAACACCAGCTCAGGAGGCTCAATGACGTTAAAGAAGATTCTTACCCAGAGTTCCAACCTCTGTGCCAATGGCCTCAACCACAAAGTCAGCTGATTTGCCCACCATGCCCGTCTCCAGGCCTGGACCCCATGCCCTCACCTTCTGAGGGCCTGCATCTTCACTTATGATCACCTCAATTGGGCTAAACACATACACACGTTTTGATCAGAAGTGAGAAGGTTGTACATGATAATCTGCCTAATTCCTAGAATTATCTCTGTAGTAATTTCCATATCCTGTTTAATCCTTTTAAAATGGATTTCAATATGTTCTTTCTAAGTGATTCGTAACAGATATCAAACTGCACAGGGGTCTATAACCCTTACCTGCGGGGAATGGCGTGGCCACCCCAAGTAATGGTGATGATGTATTTTCCAGGGAAAATGGGGTAGTAATCACATTCATACACACCGTCTCCCAATTCTTGTACTTTCACAGGCTCATCGCCACCTCCTGAAAACACAAAATTTCATTCAAACTAACTAACTTTTCAAAGCAATGCTCATTAAAACAGAAAAAAATTAACAATTGTTGCTTTAGTAGAAACAGTTGCACGCATACTTGGCCCTTTGACTTGAACACGTAGTTCTCCACTGCCTGCTCCTTTCGTGTACACCTTAAAGTCGGCCACCTCCTTCACACGCACACCCTTGGGCTGCAGGCCACGGCCAATGGCCCGACAGGCATTTGGGTTACTTGCTACAAAGAGGAAAGAGTATTTTTTCTTTTCTTTTTTTTCTTTTTTCTTTTTTATCACAAGATTAAAAGTAAAAGACAGCAAAAAAGACCCATACACACATGAACGTAGAGGTTGTCGAAGTTAGTTGAGATTATGCATGAACCAGCACATGGACCCAGCCAAAGGTACGAGCACGAAAGAACAACCAAAGACAGAATGTTTCCTTTACAAGCCTATGACAATGCAATTAGCAATCTCATAAAGACCCCATTAGGAATGTAGTGAGAGCACTAAAATGAAAACTACAGGCACGCTTGTGTTTGTTTTCAAGAGCTTATAAAAATACTTAAACACTATATATGCAATTAGTTACAAGAACCAGCAGTGAAAAATATAACCAAACTTTAACAATATTCTGCTCAAATAAGACAATTTTTTATTTGAAATAAGTGGCCTACTGTTGGGCTTTGGTGTTTAACACAGTAAGTCCACTAATGAGCACTTTTAGAGCAATAAAATGTCTATTAAAAGCAGCCCAGCTAAGTTCTCTAAGTGCTTTCTCATATCCGATCAAACAAATTCTTCTTGCAGTATCTGTTTCTTCCAGCACAGGATAAAAAGGAAGACAAAAAGTCTACAAAATAATGTTAGGTGGAAAATGTGGAAAAAATGTTTTGAATAATTGAGTTAGTTACTTTATTGTATATTTTAGTTGTTAAGACAGATAATCAAAGCATTCCCATTCTCTGAGTTAGTATTTATGGAGCAACATGGCCGAATCGAGCAACTGCACAGATGATGATGATGATCATGATGATCATGATGACAATGGGATGAGGATGATGATTTTTCAGACGGTCACTCAGCCATTGGCTCTCTGATGCCAAACCAAGTGATGGCATCTTGACTTTGTGCTTTATGCTTAATATGCTTTTAAAATTGCAGGTGTGAAACAGACCCAATGTCAGTTCAGGTTACAGTGAGTCATTTAAACTAAGGCTGTTATTAACACAAAAATAAAATTAAACAATAAATTATTTGGATTAATTTATATCTTTAGCCCTAGTTTAAAGCAATTTGTTACTTTTGTTAATTGTATTTATTATTATTATTTAAATAGTTAATTATTTAATAATAGGATTTAGTTAAACTTGTTAAATTCTGAGTTATTGAATCAGAAAATATTAGCAGAATCAAATCAAAAGTGATCCTGGTGCTCTGAGCTTCTGGTAAGTGATCGTCCAGTCCCACCAGTGAAAGGTGGATCTTTTTCTGCGTCAGTTAAAACAAGACCAGCAGCAGCATTTGCAACACTTGTCTAATCCTCCTCTTATCCGTATTCACACTCTCACTTTTACTCACACACACTTTCATCCCATCACTTCCTGTCTCTATCTGAGCATCCTGTTGATTTTAGCTGCCCCAGAGGGCAAAGCGACAGCGCATGCCAACGAGCCAGAGATGGTGTGCCCAGGAGGACACATCCAGGGTAAGGGGAGGAGACAGTAGAGAGGGGACCAAGCTCGAGCAGGCATCTGCCACGCCCCCCGGGAGGCCCGTACTAACTTGGTCGCCTGGGCTTGGGTGGTGTTGGGGGAGGCACTTTCTTGGCCTTTTCTGAGGGCGGCGTGCGTATAGACTGAGGGATTATCTGAACCGGTGAGCCGATCTGCCGGCCGCTCGAAGGAGCTAGAACAACACACACAGGCGAAAGGAAAGAGGAAACACAATAAAGCGTTTCGTCATCATCGGGAGGGTGGTGGATCCCTGGAGCAATGAGCACGGAGCTCAAACCAAACAACCTGGTCTCAGTCAGTCCCACAGAGAGCAGATCTCTCTGGGAGTTGTCCAGTATTAGCATGCTGTCAATCAAACAATCTGAAGTCATTAAGGTACAGTCACATTAGCGAAATTTCACGGGCAAAAAAGGTCCATAGTCTTTTGTCAACAGCATAGCGCAGATCACACTGAAGTTACTTTTTAAAACCAGCAGCTTTCTGTTGGTCAGCATGGCGAATTCACATAACCAACAATGAGTGAAATCTGTGTGCAAAACTTTTAAAGAGTTTGGAAAGACTAGTTTTCGGCCACGAAATTTCACCGAGCAACAGTAAATGTGACTGCACCTAGGGTAAAATAAGCTCTTTAGGTGCATAATGCCCCAGCTGAATAGGCCAGCTTACTGTAACTCGTGTTTTGGATTCCAGTCTTCACTCTAATGTCTTTACCAGTTTTCCTAACTAGCTTCAACAGCAAGCGAACCAACTTTACTGGAAAAACAGCTGGTCTTAGCTGGTCTTTTCAGCAGGGGCGGTAGACATTTTAGAATGGAATACTTTTAATGCAGCAAAAAACAACAAGTCGAAGGCTCAAGTAAAAAAAGCACTTGTTGTTTTCTTGGTGCATTAACAGCTTTGGTGTTAAATAAGAATGTGACTGTGACTGTAAAAGAACTCTGCAGGACCTCTAGCTAATAAGATAACATCTTTTCAAGGAATTAAGTCATGAAGTGAGGACATGGGTCTCACCCTCTGAGATGTGAACAGTGAAAGGACTTCTGGGTATTTGTTGGCCAGCGAATGTCACATATATAGTGTGAGGGCCCTCCAGAATGGGGCCGTAGGTGCAGCGGAAAACACTGTCGCCCTTGTTTTCCAGAATGATCTCCACTGTGTCTCTACGACCCTGAGAGTCCACAATGATCACGCCGACATCGCCTGCTCCTGCACCTGAGGGGTCACAAATACATGAAGGATCTTTATCTAGTCTTTAGTTTTAGAGTAAACAGCAAACAACTTTATTTTCCTGGCATTACCTGCTGTGTAGATGTCAAAATACGTGGGTTTATTGGCCACATTGCCCACCGGTTCCAAACCTGGCCCACGGGCCTGCACCTTGTTTGGATCTCCCAATGCTTTAGACACATTTACCAGGAAAGGGCTCCTGTCAATGTCCTGTCCAGCAAACAACACCTTCACCTGGAGGAAGACAGAAATATCCCTCAGATTGAGTTACTCCATTTCATCTGCCACAGTTTAAGCACCCTTTGTCACATCTTACAAAACTGCTATCAAGACCCAAAAAGATTGTAAAAATCATTCATCTTGAAAATATGACTGGAAAGTGACTTATTTTATTAGTACCTTATGAAGACCCTCCACTTTTGGAACATAGACCACAGAGTAGCTCCTGTTCTTGTCATTGTTGGGAATTACTCTAGCCTGCGAAAAAGGACATATTAGTAAGACATCCACCAGTAAGTTGTCAAAACATAAGTTTTTTGTTTTTTTGGTCTGGTGTACAGCCCCATCAGTAAGATTCAAGTATGCTTTATTAACAGAAATGTGTAAATCATATTATATAATTTAGCATAATGTTTATAATTAAACTTTTCAAAAATATAATGTATCAATTACTTAGAATCACATAATCTAAGCTTAATTATCTTAAAAATAAAACAATGAAAATCTCAGTTGACACTTTTAAATCTTCATTTAAATGCAAGACGTGTAGTGGTATTTATGCTTATTTTATCTTATTTTATTTGTATTATTTTATTTTATTTACACACATATTTCTTTAGTTTACTGAGATTAAAATAATGAAATTATTAATTTAATTAAATTGAATGTTTTGTTTTTTAGGTTCAATGAAACGGCAAAAATCTGGCCAATACCACCAGAAACATGCTTGGTGTACAAGTAGATATTTGGCTTGTTTTGATCATGAAAGAAGTTTGATGAGTTAGAAGATGACCTCTTCTGTGTGGCCTTCTGGATCCTCAATGTACACCAACACCTCTCCAAGTCCCGCCTCCACAGTCTCCACCACAAACTCAGCTGGCCTCAACACAACGTTGCCTCTGGACTCAATACCTACAGAGAGATTCAAAGATGCAGAGGTGTGGGTTGAGGTATAGTAAATGTTGTATCTCACACTCACAGTCTGGCATTCTTAAGTGTTAACATCATCTATCCTTCTCACCTGGCCCGTAAGCCTTGGCTCTCTTGGGGTGCAGGGTTTTAGATCGCAGTGGGGCACCAGGCTTGAGCTTGGCTTTGGGGAACTGAGACAGGTAGGTCATCACTGAGTGCTCGTCCACATTAGGATCCACAATCTCCTCTGGAGCAATCACCTAACAGGGCATAAGTGCAATGTTAGAGCTCAAAAGTCACAGGCCACATAGTGGTTGATCTCTGATTTCAATCCTGATTCCTGGATGACATTAGAGCAATATTCAACCTAGCTCTTGGGGCAACCAATATAACACATTTTGGATGTCTTCTTCACCAAACACACCAGGTACAAATTATTATTTCACTTGTAGAGGGAACATTGCCCTGTCAGATAGCGTCTTGTAGAGGGAACATTGCTACATCAGAGCGAAACACTTAAAACATACATTGCAGGACTGAGAAACACTGCAAAAAAAAAGATGAAGAAGCACGTCTCACTGACTTTATTTGACATATTTTTTGAGAACTGTTACTGCCAGAATCGATCGTCAGATATAAACACACCTCTGCGCTGTGATGGTCTACGGCACAAAACTGATGAAGTGCACTTAAGGTTTTTAAAGCAGTGGAAAATATTTTCTGTCTCTCCTATTCCCTCAGTCCCATCTTTCATGTCCAACTGGTTAAGTGTCCTGCTATATTTAACGCTAGGCTGGAAGGTTAAGAGCTAAGTGGAAATACTGTAGCTCTAAATGGTATTTAACACAGCAGAAAGATGATGGAGATTGAACGGGAGACCAACAGGGACAGGAAGAGAAATATGCATCATGTTATTAAACCCATAACTTAAGGCTCTACCTCTCCCGTTGCAGCGATATCCTACAGTCCATGCTCAAAGCATTCAATCTCTCAAGAGACGTGGACTCTCTATCTGACTCAATTACACACATTTGTGTTGTAGTGTATTCTTTATAAGATGTAATAGATTTCTGATTCACTAATTTCAGATCTTTAGAACTGACTATCGTTAATGTCATTTGGCAAACAACTAATGGATCTGTTTGTTCCATTTTCTGCTGTATCTGTTGTTGACTGTGTAGTAAACATATTATATGCCACCAGCCATTTGGGGTCTGTAAGATGTTTTAAAAAGAAATTCTTATGCTCATCTAGGCTGCATTTATTTGAACAAAAATACAGTAAAACAGTAATATTGTGAAATATTTTTAGTTAATAATTTTGAATTAGAACACATGTATAATACTGTGAATTATGACATTACATGTACTTCACCTTCCGAATTAAGAATAAAAATACTTGAATGGCATTAAGACATTTACCGTAGTAGACATACACAGCAAGAAATTATGCTGCAAAAATACAAATTAGAAAGGAGTGCTACACTAAATAAAAATAATAGCCTACACTAAAAATGATAGTGCAAATAAATAAGTCAACACAAGATAAGTAATGATAAAAGAGGTGAACCTTGAGTCTACAAGTGATTAATCGAATTATTCAGATTTCAAACTACCTGGAATTGCCACTGACAATTTTCTGCTCTTCAGACTACAAAATCTAACCAGTTTAGTGTTTAATATGGCAAGAATCTCATTTGTACAGCCTGTCTGAACAACGCCAGATATTCTTTTACACTCTCTGACTCACAAACAGAGGATCATTCAAAATAATCATTTCAGTAGATCAACTTTTTAAAGTCAACACTGACCTACAAAACAGCCAGTCCTCCTCCGCTTAAGTAGCCTGGTTAAAACCAGACCATTCTCAGTTGTAACTGAGTTATGGTCTGGCAAAGTGTCATAGACTTATCATTTCCAGAGGGGCGTCACCAACGGAACCTAAAACCAATCAGAGCGATGAAGGAGATGACGTATGCAGAGCGGCGGAGAAACATCTCCGAGTGTTGTTCTTTGCTTGGTTTTTAACTAAATGGAAACGTTCAAATCGCTTAAAACCGACGCGATAGCTGATTCGAACGAGCGATGTTCGAAGGCGGCATCCATCTTTGTAATGTAGGCTACAAAATCTGCTTCAAAATCCCAGCGCTGTCGTCATCGTGTAAAGCCCGCCCCAACGTTTCTGATTGGTGCCGCGATTTCGACGGATTGGAAATGGACTTGAATGAGCTCTTTGCCAGACTAACTTTCAGAGCAAATCTAAATTTGCCGGAAGTTGTCTGGGTTTTCCCAGGCTACCGCTTAAGAAGAAACAGCCTGAAATTAGGCTAGATGGCATAAGTCCTAATAAATATGAGTGATTGCTTCTTACCTGAGGCACACCGAGCCAATCGTCGGCTTGCTGCATGGCTTCTCTCGCATTCTCCACTGGCTGACTCGGGTCCCATGTCTCCCAGTCCGGACACAGGCCTTAGATGAAGTGAAAGAAAGAGTTAGCAGATTTATGTAAATAGTTACTCATCTCTTTATGAAACACTGATTTTCTCAACTAGAACAGAACTACAATGCACTGTCCAAACATTAAAATGATCTTGCATTTTGCATGGATGTACACTGAAGACACAAGTCTGAGCTTTATCTTGAGCTGCAGGCCCACTGTTCCACAGCGAGGAACTATTAAACTATGTTCTTTAGTTCGACTTGACCTTAAATGCTCTCAGATGTGCAGTTTCCCGTCACTTCACCTTTTTTTTTTCAAACCTAAACGCGGTCAGGCTTGTAGCACCAAACGCTTCCCTGAAGCAAACACTAGTGCCGTGTGGAGTAAAACTGTTATTATATGCTGGATTACACTCAAAGAGCAAGAGGTGTTTAGTTCAAATGGAACCAGAGAGCCTTGAAACCACAAGACTCCTCAACGCCTGCCAAAATGTTAATATCAGATCTGGGTTTGTTTTCCAGGATCCTCCAGCACAGCGGCCCCATACTTGGGTTGGACAATGAGTATCTGAAACAGGCCCACTCCTGCTGCTAACACTGATAAATCTTTAATTTTAGATTTTTAATGCATTTACACTTGCCAAAAGTGGCATTTACAGTTCCCTGTCGATCCAAGATGGTGGCACAAGGGAATCAGAACCACTGTTAAGAGAGGAAAACAGATTAGAAGGAGGAAACTACGGGGGGTAAACAAGGTGTGAATGTGGCCGCAGATACAGCCTGTATGCAGCAATGCCTGAAGGAAATACCAAGATAAAGAGTAAAGTATAGAGCTACTTTGAGGGGAAAGCATAGTTATAAAAACTATAGAGACTTCCCAAACATGGTTTACTTTCCATACTTACTCAATAATTAATCATATAATCTAAAGGGGTGGTCAATACACATTCGTTCCATTGACTTCCATTCATTCGCATGTGAATGCGGCTTAAATCAAATGAGGAAAAAAATGATCATATCATTTGAAAAAGACCAATCACAACTTAAGACACAAATTTTACAATGAAATCAGAACTGAGATTTTTGAATGGTTTTGAACATTCTTTCAGTGCAAGTCAATGGAAGATTTGTTTTTATATAAAGTTAGCAAACATTTTAAAATTAAATGCAAGCAATGTAACAATCATATAAACACTGACATACTTAAATAAATACTTAGTAATACATTACTCCTGCTAAGAGATGCTTTTCCACAAATGCATTAGGAAAAATATAATGAAGTGCATGTTGGCAGGAAATATAGCATATAGCAGCATGTGTTTTCACTTAAACATGGTTGCTGTCTTAGCCTCTGACACTTTCCATTCAGTTACAGCAGAGACCAGCGGCTCATTAGCAGCTAGCAAAGCCAACAAACTCATATAAACCTGAAACATGTAAACATATCACGTCTTTCACCTCAGGGTCACAATGTCAGCCCTTTAAATTTGAAGACAATTGTTGTTTTATGGCCACATCCTTCAGTTTGTCAGTATAGAAGGAAAAATGCAGCAGTGAAGCCATCTGATAGCAGTTTGAACAGTGTAATTGTTGTATTGCTCAATAGTAATAGTTGACGTATCACCTCTTTTGGCCTCAACCCAACTTTTAGTTGGCAGACCTTTCAGTTATGACCTAAAACTGCTTACTGATTAATCAATCTAAATATCTCAATATTACATGCTGTTTTTGACACTGGTCAAATACCAGTTCTACACTTAAAAGGATATTGAATGTCAGAGCAGTGCATCTACTGTGACCCGATGTGTCTGGGTGTGAAATCCGCCCTGAGTGCAGCTCAGAGACGATCGTGTACAGCTGCCTTCCACCCACCGCTACGTTTACACCTGCTCTCTGTACTAATGTGACTTAAGGACAATGAAACTGTTGTTTGCATTTGACAAACATGTTTGACTCTTTTAAACACACCTCAAAATGCCTTGTCAGGAGTTGAAAACATTTCAACTCTTGCGCTATTGTGCTGAACAAATCAAGGCATTAAGTACTAATTATTTTTGTGCCTTCAAATCGGCTTGAAATGAAAATTCACCCAATTTATTTTCTAAATGCATGTTGTTGATCTTATTTTGAACAAGTTATCCATGGAAGTTTTTTTTGTTTTTTTAACCTCTTCATTTTTAATGAGAACTCGACCCTCCAGTGAATCGACAGATTTCTCTCTGACGTATGTCGGATTTCTCCAATCATTTCGTTGTCTTATACTCCGGCCCTTTCTTACAATCAGATCTGCCTCCATCCTGTCAATAACTCATGAATTGAGCCAAGTACCTGCCCTTCATTTTTTCCATTTCAATAATCCATTTAAATCTGAGGTAAATAACAACTTGGAAGAAAAAATATCAAGATGGTCTTTATCAAGTCCATCTTGTCTCTGTTCGTAATCCTAATGCTTACCATTTACTATCCCGAAAATCATAAGAAAATTATAAGTTGATAAGAATGTTGCCAAATACCGGCACTAGCTATAACCTCTGATTACTTGATAGCAATTTTGTAACAAGGATGTTGATTTAGAAACATGTTTTGCTTGGTGAAATCAAGGTTAAGTTCTTATACACATCCCTAATTCTCCAAAGGATATATGGCCAAGTCCTATACCGTCCTGAGTACATTCACAATGCCAGAATGACTGCTTTGATTATGGAGTTGAGAAGGATGGACACGTGCACTTCCAAGCGGGCTTGACCCTCCATTAAACCCTCTCTGAACTGCATGGGTTTCTGGATTTTCCACTAGTATTAGTCCAAACCTATCCAGAGGTATTCGATTTATAAATAACGTTTTGGAAAGGAGTGATCGTTTGTTTTGAGGTCACCAATTGTTCTCTTTCTCTTCTTCCCTTGGCTCTGGTCTTTCCATAGTGAGATCATATGCTGTAATTATCCGACCAGCTTCTCATCATCTGAGGTAAAGCAGATTCGGCATGGCATCGCCCTAATGATTATTACTGACCCCTGAATCTACTTAATGAAGCTAATGAACAAAGTTTTCCATTTAATACCGCATGTGATTAATATACCATGACACATTTGTCGCCAAGTGGTCATAAACCACAGAATTCTGCTCACCAGGGGCGCAATTATCCACCAGGGCACCGAGGGCTTTGCCATCTCTCCAGTCCCTGTGGAAGTTGTTGATGGGCAACTGGGGGACCTTGTTCTGGATCCAGCCCAGAAGGCGTTGTTTAGGTGTCAGCTTCCTGGCATCCTCATCGTCCTCATCCTCCCACATGGGCATGGAAATGGAGTAGTGCAGGATTAGGGTCCATATCAGCCCCAGGATCAGTTTTAGGTTGCCATCCACTATAGCTTTGCTATCTGCAATGAGAGAGAGAAGGATTTAAGGGTATTACTCCACACAAGAGCACTGAAGCATGTTTTGTGGATATACTGGAAATCATAAAAAGACAACTAGCTGAAAATCTGAAAGTATCAATGCTTTGCGTAGAAAACCATAAAACATTCTGAGGTTGGCTTCTATTTCTCCTGTGTTACCACTGTGAAAATATATTAGTTTAGGGTAAAGAGTGGCAAGGACTCCATCATGTCAACATACTGTACACTAGGGGGAAAAAAACAGTTTTCAGGCCAAATATGAGCTTAGGATATAAACTGAACATGAGAGGCTGACCCTATGCTCTACCTTGCCTGAAATAATGGCAACACCTGTGTTTATTTTTCACGTCCTGTCCTCCCCAGCATCGCGTGTGTTGTATATTTGGGCCGCCATCGTGCCACTTTTTGTTTACTCGGAGAGATTCGCAGCACACTGTTTGTTCCGTTCGCCTGCTGTGTTGATAGCTTTTTCACAGGTTTAGATGTGCACAAATAAACAGCAAGGAGGAACTCTCTCAATGCGGATCTTATGGCTTACTAATCACATGCACACATAGACTATGACCCACGTATTTCACTTTCATTCAGTCAAAGTTGATATTTTCACATACATAGGGTACACATTGTTGTCATATTACCATCCCATTACTAAGTAGTAAAGACACAAATCCCATGTTTGAGATAACTATCATGTTAAGTATCTAACATAAAATTAATAATATTATAATAATATTAATAATATAATATTAATAATATTTAATAAATTCATAATTTAATTATATTAACTAAATATATTATTAAAATTAAGACAAAAATAACAGAAATCGGGTAATAAATTGTACTTAGAAATATAATATTCAGTCCCAAATGAGGTTTTTTTATACTCAGTTATTCATGGAAAGCCACATGCACTTTTTACACAACCGTTACCCAAATCTTTCCCTACACTGCTCTGCTACAGTCAAGACTCTGGACTACAGCGTGGAATATGAATCAAGAAGATGGACACTACTAAGCCACTGACCGAATGCCAAAGTCTGATGTCACTTAACCCTGGATCTGTGGAATGAGGTCAGTTTAAATAAAACACACACATACACAGATGAAACTTAATCGGGACGCTGGCCGAATCTGACTACACTTTGCTTCAACCCCCAATGGAGCTGTCTGCACTAAATGCTGCAATGTGCGCAGGGGTCTGGGGGTAATCCAATCCCTCCAATCGAATAATACTGCCAGTTTCTGTTTTTCGCTCTCATTTTCTTCTTGCTGTAATAAAACAAGTTCCAGATCAAATTCTTCACTGATCTTTGATATATTACTTTTGAGATTTTCAAGTAAATTTGGCAAGTACAGTGTGTTACGCTCACTGTGGCCCCCTCTCAAGAACAGGGTTTAATGTTTTTGGGTTCCTAGGCTCTCTAGATGTTTAGAAAGGAATGCATGCTGACATTTGTGTGCACTCTGCTGCATCAGCGCCAAGCCCAACAGAAAGAGACAGGGAGAAAGCATTTGGCAATGTAAGCAAGTATAGAAACAGAGAATGAGAGAACAATAAAGAGCGTCAAAGAGGAAGGCAGAGTTCAGTATTACTATTTCACTTCCTTATTAATTCATTATATTATATATACACACACTACAGTTAAAAATTTAGGGTAAGCAACATTTATAATAACAAGAGCAGCAAAACAGCATATTAGAATGTTTTCTGAAGGATCATGTGACACGGAAGACAGGAATAAATTACATTTTTAAATCAATTAAAATAGGAAACATTTTAAATTGTAATAATATTTCACAATATTACTGTTCGCCTTGATAAGCATGAGAGACTTTAAAATAAATAATAAACTTTTTTTAAATAATAAAAAATTTATTATTTATCATGCCAAACAAGCTGAAAAAAGAGCAAGAGTGAGAAGTAAAAAAAAAAAATAGAGAGAGATACGAGTGAGTGACTACCTAAAAATGATCAGGTACAGGCAGATATAAGCAAACACACAAACACACAGCTCAGCTGTTAACACTCGCAAACAGGTGTGTGACGGCTGTTGTCGTATGCCAGAGGTGATAAAGATCCTCAACAGACAATATAAAACATACACACAACATAAAAGGTCACACACACACACATAGCTGGCACAGTAGGTGCACGGCACGCATACACTGAGCAAGCACTGACAGCTATTTGGTCTACTTTTCCTAAAATAATTTACAGATTAACACCTAATAGAGTGTGTTTGTTTTAATTCCCAATACCAAATGACTTTAATCTTTTCAAACCACCCTAAACCCAGCAATGTGTGCCCTAGTAAAAACAAACAAAGTCCTGAAGGTAAAGCGCATTCACTGACATACAGTACAGCACCAGCAAACAGCTGGATTCAAACACTTAATGAAAGACATCAGAAGTAAGTGTTTCCTTCCGACAACATAAAGTGCAGTGCCTGCAAACGAACCCTTGGAATTTTGAGGAACCGCTGATGACATGGGCCAGGAATTCCAGCCCGCTAGGGTACTGCACAATCACATAATGGGCAGGAAAACAAATATGGGATCAGGGCCTGGGAAAAGACCATTAAGGACAGAGAGTCAAGAAGGGATGTCTTATGGTGAGTGCCGGGGATAATTTAGAGAATGAGCAAAAGTCTTCTCATTTGTCTCACTCAAAAATTAGGCAACAGATTGTTGTCACATTACAGGTTTTTTTTTTATACATTTTGTGAATTAATAATCACAGTAAATGGTTATAATGGGAACATTTCAAATCTTCACAAAAATGTTTAAAAATGCTTGAAAATTAGATCACTTTTAATAACTAGATTCTGAAGAAAAATGTGAGTGGCATTTACTGTTGTTAACTAAAACTATAAAAAATATTTCTTGTTAATTGAAATATATCTGAAATAAAATAAAATATAAATATTAGATAAAAACGAAAATTAGAAATGTTGACTTATTAAAAAATAAGTTTAGGTTGATGTACTAAAATGACTAAAACTAAAACTGAAATAAAAAAGAAATTAGCTAAAGCAAAATACAAAACAAACAAAATATTAAATTAAAACAAGAAAAAAAGGCAACTTCAAAATAGTAATAAACACTATAATTGTATATAAATAACACTAGTGGTGTTTAACTATTTTCAAATATTGTTCTAACTGTATGTATGAAAAATAATGAAATAATAAAAGATGCTTGCCTTGGCACAACTCATAATAAGTATAAGGAACAGCAGCAGTCCTCCACAAGCACAATAATGTGTGAATGCAGTATTTCTCTAGCAAATGCCTCTGAGTAATGAAACACTTTCCTAACCCTGATTAGAGCCAGGATCATTCACATCCTCCCACCACTGAGCCACACCAACAAGATGAGATAAAAATAATGAAACAGGCTTTTATAAGCCACTGTTGGCAAAAGCTATAGGGGAAAACACATGTAGTGGTGTTACTGCAGTGAGTACTGATGCATTCATCTTGAATCCAGCTGTTGATAATTGCTGCTCCTTTCAACTTACAGAAATTGCTTCATTTCACTGATGAACGAGCGTATTGTCATTGTTTGGAAGTTCTTCAGAGGAGGGAATTCACTAAAAACGCATTGCGCTGGCTGATAGTGCTATTTGCACGCGCTGCCCGTGTTTTTTTAGCGACTGGTGTTAGAGAACATAATAAAACGCTGCAAAAATGGCAACCATTGTGTGCTGAATACAGTTTGCATGCTGTAATTTCCCATCTTGCAGGTTGGTTCTGAATGCAAGGAAGAGGCAGATGCAACAGACTACTAGACTTTTGAACAAGATACAATCTGTAACAAGACTAATTTACATATAAAATAATGTGTGTTTGCACTTAGAATGACAACTTTATAAAAGAAAAACTCATGCTGCAGCTACATACCAGCAAAGTTTTGTGCCGTGATTGGTGGTTAAACTGGATAACGTGACTCAACTCACTGTTTAGTGAATTTACCCCTCATGGTTTTAAAAAACGTATTCTTTAATTGCACACTATAAAGAAATTTGCCCCAATTCAACTTAAAAACTTAAGATCAGTTGCTGCTTTAAATTTTTAACAAATTGGCAGAACAAGTCATCCCAACTAATTTCATGTGCATCTTGCCAATTTGAATCTTGTATAACTTAAATAATGAAGTTAATATCGGTAAATGATTTTGATGAGGTAAAGTAATGGAAAAACATGCTGTCATGATCATATCATTTTTTTCAGTACATGCAAATGGAAAAATATTCACATTGCTTACCAGTATTCTGCTATAAAGTCTCCTGCCAGTTTCAGAGAAAGGAGATCCTCATAACCACTGTAACTTTTGGCAGTGTCAGGAGAATTGGAATTTTCCTGGCAAATTCTGAAAACAACTTTATTTTCTGATATATTTGCCAAAAAAGTACAGCATTTTGTTTTCCAATGATTGCGGTTTTCACAGTTTCAATTGTACCATATTTGTTACCTATTATTTTTATTTTCTTACATATTTACTGTTTTATTAAGTTTCTAATGAGATCTCATGTCATTCCGAGTTGCCCTTTGAATTATCTGAACATCCGCCAATGACGCCATGAGAAATTTCTACAGCTTAGATGCATCAGGTGATTGTCTGCTGTTGCTTGGGGTGAGCAAACAAACATCGCAGTCTCCCTGGAGGAGACAGAAAGTTTGCCATGATCACTAGGACAGAAGAGACAGAGACAATGGCCTCTGTGTGGAAGAGACATTCTGCCTCGGGAAATATTCAACCCTACATCCACACACACACAAACACGCACACACATCGCTTCAAGAGGGAATGTATAATACATGAGGCTCTGGGATGTTTTGGTTCACAACTGTAAAGACAAACTAATCAATGAAAATACAATAAACAAGAGGAAAGACAAGAGCTGCAATATTGTAAATAAGCTGGATAAATAAATGTGTAAGTACTGACCAAACAGTAAAATAGTCAAGGGCAACAACAAC